ATACAGGCATTATGCACCACCCCAGCTGTTCCTGGCCTCTGAGCAGCATGGGAAGGCAGAAAGGCTGCTCTGGCCAGAGCGAAGGTGGTGCCAGCAGCCAGGGGAACGAAGGCCCATCTTTGCACAAATCTTCATTTGTGCATGGAGCCACTAGTCAACTATAACATCCTAGATCACATGTGTCAAACACAAGGCCCGCGGGCCAAATCAGTCCCGCCAGGCCTTGCAATGTGGCCCGCACCGCTCTGTCATCACTGCACTCCGCTGCGTTTCCATCACAATGACAGTTTATGACTGTTCAGTAAACCATTCGACCCGCGATTTAGGCTGGATTTTAGATTTTGGCCCCTTCTCTGATTGAGTTCGACACCCCTATCCTAGATGTATAAAAATAAATATGTTTGTTTTAACAGAGACTAAATTTCTTTTCTCAAAGGGTTAATATTTTATACATGTTTAAACTGGGGGTGGGAGAACAATTGGCTTGAAGATTAGTGTCGATTATTCAAACCATTTGTAAAAGATATTTTACAGAATTTCCATTTGGAAAAAACACTTTGTTGCCAACAAAGTACCCAATATTAATCCTCCCAAATCATTTGAAGATTATGAAACATATGGAACAGAATTCTTTTTTAAATGCAATAATATGAAAGTCATTCTTGGATGCTTTTTCTCAAAGTACTTTTAGCACATACTGTTGTGTTTTATATAAATGAGTAAACTGAGTAACAAGGACTGACCAAGGGCATTCATATTTATCCATAGTATGTATCTTCAAGGTTTAACATGGATAATGTTGTATAAACTGATTTGTGATAGTAGAGTGTCACAGATGTCTGCTAGCATGTCTGTCTAGAAGGCTCTGTCCTCACCTGTTCATGTGACCTTCGGTGAGTTATCTAACCTTGTAGAATTTGGGAAGAGGGTAAGAAACCAGGAAAAGTAGATGAAGCTCAGATGATGAAGGACTTTCTAAGCCATGGTAAGAAATATGTCTCTTAAGTGCAATGGCAACTTTCAAGCAGGTGAGTGATATAACCTGATATGCAATTTGAGATCTTGATGTTATTTAGGAAATGGACTGTAGCAAGACAGGAATGGAGGAAGGGAGTTGAGTAAAGAGACAATTTTGCAGTTCATGTCAGATAATGGTGGATCTGAACAAGGGTGTCTCACAAGACAAAGAAAAAAATACGTACTTTGCAAGTGGAACCCAGAGAACCTGCTGTTGTGTTTAATGGAAGTGAGCAAAAGGGAAGAATCAAATGTGAACCTTAAGGTTTTTAAAAGAAAAATAATTGTAAAATAGTTATTCTTTACAGTGGTATAAAATATGCCTCTTACAGCTGTCATATATTAGTTAAAAACTTAGTGTTAGGAAGCTGCAAAAGAAGTTCATTCTAACCTTCAAGTGTTGGGAAATAATTATTATGTTTCCTTCAGATAGCTTTTGTTTAATATTTAAAGTGTTTTTAATCACTACTCAAGTAAGATGGGTTTAGATCCCTTTACTACCATGAATGTTCACTTCTAAATGCCTTTCATTTCAATTATATGTTTTCCCATGATCAGCATTCACCAATAAATAAAAAGGTAAACCTAACCATCACAAAGCAGAATTTGCTTTTCAACTTCTTCATTCTAGACAATAGCTTTTCATTAATTTCATTTTGATAGATACTTCATAATTATTGTCTCTCAAAATCAAGTAGAGCAGTTAAGATGCAGATTGATGGTGATATAAGTTAGAATAAAGTGAAGACCATAAGAAAATATCAGTGGTCAATTGGGGGTCAGGAATGGTTTTTATGGTGAATTTGAGGAATGAAAAAGGCACTGAGAGATGGCAATGATAGACACTAGGGGGAAAAGGTTATGGTGTGAGCAATGCATGGGACATGATGGCTCACTGTGCTGTCACATAGCAGGGGTGTGAGAACCAGTGAGCAGTGAGGTCAAAAGGGAAGAAGGTGTGATTGTGTTGTGGAAGCCACGAATGTTGCAATGAGGAATCTGTCTACTTTGTTAGGCTAAGGAACGCCACTGACGGCTGAGGTCTCTGTTGTTGCAATAGATAGAATTTCACTTGAAGAAGGTTACTCTGGTAGCAGATTTAACTGAGGAAAGAGGGAAGTACAGAACAGTGAATTCCAACACAGGTCCAAGAAGGAAGTAATAATGGGTTAAAAAAAAAAAAAAGGCCTTTATAGAGAGGGAGGAAGGAGAGGTACAGATGCAGAGGACCAGTAGGTACAGAATTCCCAGAGCTTTGATAACTACTCAGATCGAACCTAGAAACACAGAGGAGGAAAGCATGCCTCTCACAAAGATGAAACTGAGGGTTTACACAAAAACATCACTCTTTTAAATCTCTCTTGATCATTGATTTAGAGATTTTTTTTTAAATTCATGCTTCCCATCACATATGCTTCTCATTGCATATGAAAAGTAACTAGGATTTCCCATTACATCATAAGGTTTCTGGCCAGTAGAGGAAATGGTAGAGAATGAAATCTTGTAGCTTAGAAATAAAAGCTATCTTTAGACTAACACAGTGTCGGTGACTATTTTAAACCCCCGAAGCTCTGCTATCCTGCTATGCTTTGACTACACAAGGAATACCACTGAGGTCCGAACTGAGATGAAAGCAAAACATGGATTCTCACTTGTGCCTCAAAGTTCTTTGTGTCTCAGCTTCTAAATGTTATGAACAGCATGCTGTCTATGCTCTGTGCTGGGCCAACTGGTGTTTTCCCCATTGCATTTGCTAAATACTGAGGGGGGAAGAAGAGGAGGAAAATAAGGAAGAGGAGACATTGAGGGAGAAAGGGAAAGGGGGGAGAAGAGACTTCTTTAAAATGTAAAATATAGACATATACTTGGCAGCTGAGATAATGTGTGCCTATGAAAAACATATCAGATTTCTTTGCTTTTCCTTTGGATTTTGTCTTTTTACTGGTTAGTCAATTTCCCAGCTGATTTGATCCAAATAAAAATGCTCTTAGTTATGTTTTATTATAACTTGAATGTATACTATTAAAAGCTCAGAAGTTGTGTAAAAGCATGAACAATAGGACTGGATTCATCTATAACTCCCCTACTCAGAGATAAGCAACTTTAATATTTTATTTACAGCCCTCAAATCCTTTGTGTCCCTCAAAATGGTATTATCATAATTCTCTCATGCTTCTTGTGAAGTTATCCCTTAAGCATTTAACATTTTACTTAAATGCTTAAGGGATATTGTGACTGATATCTTCTTTACAATGTATTCTGTTTCTTTTTAGTATACAAAAAAAATTGATCAAGCCTTGTATTAGTCTCTTAGTGTTAATAATTTTCAATTGTCCTCTTGGGCTTTAACTACTTTTTAACTTATTTTAATTAAAATTGAGCAGTCATTAAATTTTGTCAATATAAAAATCACTTAGGTATGGGGAAAAGACTAAAAAATGTTTAAAAAGTCAGTAATTAGTTAAATCATTCATTCAGTATCCAATATTTACTGAGCACATACTATAACCTTAGCCAAGTTGCCTCATCTAAAATATTGTTTCTGCAACTAAGAAATGTAAATACTCAATAACCCTATTTAAGAATTAAGTGAGATAATGAATGTAAAATGCTTAGCATTGCACATGGTAAATGCTCAAAAAATGTCAGCAGTAATGACACACACTGTAAGCTGCCCTTCCTCCCCAATGCCTGCAGAACCAGCCTGAGGAGAGAATGGAAGCTCCCCTGATTTCCCTCCTTTCTTCTACCATCTATAAGGTGGCCCTAGTTAATGTCAACAAAAGAAAAGATGAGCCGAAACCGGTTTGCCTCAGTGGATAGAGCATTGGCCTGCGGACTGAGAGGTCCCAGGTTCGATTCCAGTCAAGGGCATGTACCTTGGTTGCAGGCACATTCCCAGTTGGGGGTTTGCAGGAGGCAGCTGATCGATGTTTATCTCTCATTGATGTTTCAAACTCTCTATCCCTCTCTCTTTCTCTCTGTAAAAAATTAATAAAATACATTTTTTTTAAAAAGAAGAGAGAGAAATCTATGAGAAATTCTTTCTAGAATTTACTCATTTTTGCCATTTGTACTCTCAATAAATACTGATAGATGTCAAACAAAATTAGAAAACTAAAAATCCTCAATAAAGCCTACCATCAGTTGAAGGTATTAAGAAGACTGGCTACTTAATAGACAAGACAATTCCAGAATGAAATCTGAGATAATTTTTTTAAAAATATATTTCATTGATTTTGTACAGAGAGGAAGGGAGAGAGATAGAGAGTTAGAAACATCAATGAGAGTCATCAATCAGCTGCCTCTTGCACACCCCCTACTGGGGCTATGCCCGCAACCAAGTACATGCCCTTGACAGGAATCGAACCCGGGACCTTTCAGTCCCCAAGCCGACGCTCTATCCATTGATCCAAACTGGTTTCGGCTGAAATCTGAGATAATTAAACAAAACTCATTCTTATAAAATTTCACTGGCTTAAAAGTGCTATATGTAATATTAAGTTTAAGTTTACAAACAGAACAATTAAACAATAAAATAATTAAATTTTAAGATAGTTTTCTAAAAGAAACATAATTATATTATCCTCTCCAAAATTACACAATATTCAGAATCATTTGCTAATCGTTACTGCTAAGCTTTCAGAAATTATTTTTTATTTTTTTTATTGAGTTTGTACAGAGAGGAAGGGAGAGAGATAGTTAGAAACATCAATGAGAGTCATTGATCAGCTGCCTCTTGCACATCCCCTACTGGGGATGTGCCCACAACCAAGGTATATGCCCTTAACCGGAATCGAACCCGGGTCCCTTCAGTCCCCAAGCTGATGCTCTATCCATTGAGCTAAACCGGTTTTGGCTAGCTTTCAGAAATTATACCTGTTTTTCTTACTAAATTATAAACTGAAAAGCTGCTTAATATTCCCTATTAGCCAAAAGCCTGATTTCTTCAACAAAATGTAAAATCCGACGCTATGACTTACCCACTTCTGCCAAAGTTCTGATACAGGACTCCACAGAGGCCTTCTGGGCTGGGTTTGGCCAGGTGCAATTGTAAATTCTGAAGGCAGATTGCAGCAGCTGAATAAAAACTGGCTGGTGTGTCTGAAGACAGAAAGAAGAAAGGCAAATAGGCCACTAAACCACTAACACACCCTGATACAGTATTTATCCATTATCAAAGTCGCTCATCAAAATGAAACATAATACAATGTTTTTCATTTCAGAACTATTAAATGCATATTAATTCAAAATTATTTATTACATACCTATTTCATGAGAAGCATGAGCCAGAGACACTATAGGAAGTCAATTATTTGCATTTGAACTATATTCTTAATCAGAAAAATATGGCATTTCTTGAAGACAGTGACATGAACTTAAGTACATTTTTATAATCTCTGGTTTATTTATCAGTATAAATAGAGAGAAGGTGTTCTGAATGTATTTGTTTGACTATACATTTTGGTTTCCATATGATGGGTAAGAAGAGGAGACAACAATTTTGAAATGGTTCAATCAAACAGTTGAAAAGTTTTTCCAAAAGAAAGTATAATTGAAATTATATTTTTATAAGATCAATATACAGTTATTGTAAAATTTTTGGAAACCACTGACATGAAAATTACCAATTATTCTACTACGTAGGGGTAATCAGTATCCAAATTTTGAAGATAATTACTGTACTGTGTTTTTCCATATATGTATGCATGAAAACATGGATGACAGTATAATGCAATTCTGTGGCCTTTTTAAATCTTACTGCATGTTCATTTTCCCAACCATAAATATTTCTTTTAAAACATTATTTTTAATAAATACTACAGATACAGTGGATTTATTTAGCTCCGCGCTCCCCCACCCCCCTGTTTGTGGTGGATGGCAACTTTGAAGTCTATAAATACTTGAATAAAAATTATGCTATATAAAACACTGCTAATTCTTTCAGGACAAATTACTAACATGGAACTGAGTAAAAATGCCTATCCATTTAAATAATTGTGTCATTTATTTTGACAGTCATCAATCATACAATATGAAAGTTCCCATTATGCTTAGAGGGGGAGCAAGAACAGTTTAACTTGAAGATGGGACTTCTCTATCTAAAATAAAGTTCGGTAAACTCACAAAGGAGAGTAACAGTAATTAACATGAGAAGTGTCATCCTCAGAACTGTAGGGAAGACTTCCTTATCAGGTTAAAGTTTCTCCTACTTGAGTAAGGCAAATAAAATCTGTGTGTAGGAATGCTTTGCACGTGATGGGTTAAGCTACCTGGAGGCTGGTGCTGTTGTCTGAGAAAGGAGAATTGAAGAAGCCGCTCACGATGCTCATGATAGACTCTGTCACACACTTCTCCAGGGAGGTGTCTGCGTGTTTCCTGTCTGTGGTTGTGTTGCAAACCTGGGGGGATAAAAATAGAACAGCTCAATACATTCTATCACATCTTTGAATTATAACTCAGTCCTGGGACCTTCTAAAAATGGCCTGAAGTGATGGTTTATAACATTTCTTCTGCTTTGGAAAGTTGCTTTGAACAGAAATGCCTCTGCCTAAAATCTGTAGTAGTTCCTCCTTTAAGTTTGGTTACCATCTCATCCTAGAACCGGAATCCATTCACAGGCACCTTCCCCTCTCGCAGCCCTTCTTCCTGAACCGTATCTCCCTACTGTTGGACACAACCTTCGCCCTCCATGCCCAAGCTTAGATTTTCTGAAAAACACCTTTCCAGTCAATCTGAAGGAGCCAAAGAGGAAACAGTCATAAGGATAAGAAAGTGGTGAGTGTGATTAATGGGGGCTTAATGGTACAGATGTACCAAGCCTCAATGAGGAAAGTATCTGGAAAGGGAAATAGAAAGCTAAAAGAGGATAAAATCCTTTCCGATAATTTCGGCTTTTTCATCCACAGGTTTACCTGGGTGCATCTGTGGGCCAACTTCTCAGAATAGGCAAAGCGGGAAGAGACAATGCCAGAGATGAGGATAAATCAGAGAACATAGACTTTGAACTTTATAGTATGTGATTTAATGTGGCAGAAATTTGTAATTTTGCTAAACTGTACATTCCCAAGTATGTCAGGGTAGACAAATTTGCAAAAGCAAAGATACATGATTAAAAGCAAATGAAAAACAAAGATGGGTGATGAAAGGACAAGAAGATAAAAAGAAGAATAAAGAGGTGGGTGAGTATGAAGTTTGAAAAAAACAGAGTGAGAAAGTTTAAGTATTCACTTAATATGGCAGGTAAATATTATGGTGGCCATATGTTCCAGATATTTCAATAAGGTGATTAATAAAAAGAATAAGTAAATGCAATTTAATATGATATTGCTTTAAAACCTTTTACACAAATAAATTCACAAAAGAGAAATATTCCCTTCTCCAACCATGTGTCTCAATGCTTTGGTTTGAAAATAACAGTAATTACTAAATGGAAATAAAAGAAAGAGCAGAGGATTTGTTTTGCTTTTAAGTTACTTCCCATGGGGGCAATTCATTTCTTCTTCATCTATCAAATGACATCTATCTGATGGAGCCGTATTAGAAGCTATTATAAGAAACAGAGCAATTAAAGAAAGTAAATTGTGTCAAATTATATAATCATTTCATTATCGTTCCAGCATATAACATAGTACGTGGCATACACAAGACATTCAATAAATGTTGTGAAATGAATAAGTCAATTAATTTTAAAAATGGAAGAACAAGAAAGGACTATTATTTTGTTTTAGGTTAACTTTGGGTTAGGTTATATTTGTGGAACATCTAAGCAAGGACTAAAATTTAATGTGGCTCCAGAATAATATAAAATCAATTTTCCCATAATGGATATGAAACAGGATTTATTGCATTTAGTATCTTTCCAGCACTGGCTTTTATAGTGAAAATTTCTGATCAGTAAGATAAAAATATATTAAAGCAGAATAGGTACCAGACCAATGCTACCATCCGCAGCCCAAATAACCTTTCTCCGCACCCAGTGACATTTCACACAGTTGGGGGGGGGGGGGTTCTCTGAAGCTAGAAGAGTATAGCACTGCAGTGCCTGCAAACGCACACTTGCTAAAGAGGCAGCAAGATTTGCTTTAGTCAGTGGATTAATAGCAGCAATTTATCTCTAGCTAAAGGCTTCCCTCAAAATCCCAGGTAATGAAAAGTCTACGTTTAAAAAAAATTTTAACGTAGCCAAAATGTCAGACAAATGAATTTAATTATTACTTTGCAGACATGGATATTCTGTTGATGAGCTGGCAAAATTTGGGGTAATAAAACAAGACACATAATTTGTAAATTAGTATATATTTATAACAACAAATTTATTTTTGTCTCCATTTCAGTGCAACCACTAATTATATAGCTATAATCAAGTTTTTTATTTATTTATGTTCTATTATAATTTTAAAGTGCACATAATTTGAACATATCTTCTCAATAATATAAAGTATAATTTAAAAAGTATATATAATTTGAATATATTATCATCAGAAATATAAATTAAGTGAAACGTAAAAAATATATTTTTTTAAAGTCTGGGTTTACAAAACTGTGTAGACTCTATTCCTCAATTAATTTGGATAAAGAATTCAAATTGTTTTTCAAGATATTTTTTCTGGCCCTAGCCGAGTGGCTCAGTTGGTTGGAGCATTGTCCCATATACCAAAAGGTTATGAGTTCGATTCCTGGTCAGAGCACATACTTAGGTTTCAGGTTTGATCCCCAGTAGTAGATGTTTATCTCTCACACAGATGTTTCTCTCTCTCTCTCTCTCTCTCTCTCTCTCTCTCTCTCTCTCTCTCTCTCTCTCTCAAATCAATAAAACATTATCTCTGGGTGAGGAATTTTTAAAAAGGGTATTTTTTTTCTGTCCATATAAACAACATTTTCACCTCTTCAGCCTTGCTGTAATACTGTAGATAGGCAAGATATGTAGGAAGACACTTTTAAAATTAAATCTTCAAAACATTTTCAGTAAAAAAGAACCTAATAAATAACTATACTTCTTTCTCCTGATATTTATTTTTATTGACTTGTCAATAATAAAATCACATCATATTCGTTAACTTTTCATGTGTAATACCTATATTTTTAAAGTTTCAACCTGGCCGGGACCGGTTTGGCTCAGTGGATAGAGAGTTGGCCTACGGACTGAAAGGTCCTGGGTTCGATTCCGGTCAAGGGCATGTACCTTGGTTGCGGGCACATCCCCAGTGGGGGGTGTGCAGGAGGCAAGTGGTTGATGTTTCTCTCTCATCGACGTTTCTGACTCTCTGTCCCTCTCAATTCCTCTCTGTGTAAAATCAATAAAATATATTATAAATAAATAAATAAATAAATAAAGTTTCAACCTGTTTGCACACATATATTTTCCATGTAGTGTCATTTTCTCAATACTTATTTTCTTTTTAATTAAATCCTCCCTTGAGGATATGTTAGGTTTTTTATTTGTTTTTTAGAGAGAGACAGGAAGGGAGAGAAAGAGAAACATCTATGTGAAAGACAAACATCAATCAGTTGCTTCCCATATGCACCCTGACCAGGGAGGGAACCAACACACAACTTAAATATGTGCCCTGAAAAGGAATCAAACCCACAACCTTTTGGTGTATGGGACCAGACTCTACCAACTGAGCCTCCCAGCCAGGGCTCTAAATACTTAGTTTAAAGGGCAAGCTTTATCGATCATTTTAATGCACAATCACACTTTAATTCATTTTTGGGATGAATTGAGGTATACATAACAACAACAACAAAAATACAAATCTTTTTTTCCCCTTAGTTTTTCCTTTTTGTTGGTCTTTTGTGTGAATTCTTTTTTCCCCCCTGAGCAAAATCCTTTACTTTCAGATTCAGATTTTTTGGGAATGTTTCACCAAAAAAAAAGGAATCAGCAGAGGAGGATATGTAAACAGTTTTATACAACTTGTGGGCAATAATACATGTACTAGGCTATCAACAACCTATGTGTGAAAACACTGTATGATTCCTCATTCCCACAAACTAGCTCTTGCTTCCAGGCTCTGCTTGGAGATCAGAGTGAAAGAGAAAGAAGTTAAGATAGCTACTCTGCCTCTACCTCCATCCTCAATATATATTTATGGTAGGAACCCTCACACAATACTCAGAAATACAAAATTATCCACAAACCTAAAATCCAGATCAAATCGTGATTAACGTCATGGAATCTTTTCTTCTAATCTTTCTGCTCTACCATATATATTTCTACGATTAAAATCAATCTAGATAATCAGTTTTGTATTCTCTTTTTTATATTTATCATGCAATTATTATTAGCACTTCTCGTTAAAAATCTTCAAAGTGACTTTATATCATCTTATAGATATAACATAATTTTTAAAGCCATTTCTCTAAAATTAAATATTTCTATTTGTATATTATCATAAGAGTATGTTGTACTCCTTTGATCATAAATTCTTCATATTATTTCTAATTATTCCCTGAAGACAGATCCTTGGAAGATAAATTACTTGACACATTAAAAGGGTATAGAGGCTTTTTTAAATGTACATCAAAATACTTTCCAGAAAGACAGCTTAAGTCTACACTTTTGTCAGCAAGGTATGTGAAACAAGATTTAATACTATCTTTTTATTCTTATAACTCATAGCTGAAAACTGGATCTTATTTTCCTTTGTATTTTTTAAAAATCTTAACAGTTGACTATTTTTTTCAGGCAATTACCTTATTTCCTCCTCTATCAACCATGTATGCCAGGCTTCTGCCCATTTTAATATTATATAGTGTTAGTGTTTTTCATATATTTATGTAAGGATCATTAACTTTTTAAATATATAACTTTTCCTATTTTGATGTTCGTTATTTTTAATGTATGTTTAATATACTTAAATTCAAATTTTTCAAATAATGAAACATTTATTATTTTTCTTAGCTAATTTCATTCCTTGCTTTTTTGCTTAAAATGAACTTTCTAATCCAAAGACTGATAAATATTTACCTATCTTCCATACATTTTTATCATTTCACAAATTATCTCTAAATTCCATTGCAATTTATATTATATGATGTTAGGTTAGGAGCTGAGTTCATTTCACCTCAAATAGCCTGTGTCCTTCAATGTCATTTTGATTTAATTCTAAAGAACAATTTTGTTGAATGCCTATTCCATGCAAAGAATGTTCTATAGGGTGGGACAAAAGTAGGTTTACAATCATATTCTTATTTAGTAATTACTGTTTTATTTTTAAATGAATAACCATAAACCTACTTTGCCCCACCCTGTACTTACCTGTGATCAATAGGTGAAAAAAATTACAAAAATCACTATTCTAATTTATATCATTAATTTGATAATTCAGGAGAAATAAAACTACAGCTCATGGTTCAAATCTAGCCATATCATTCATTTACCTCTTACCTATGGCTC